CCTCAGCGCCCCAATCCCCCTCAGAGCCCCCCGAGCTCTCCGCGTCCCCCGCTCCCCTCACGGCCCCACGGCGCCTTTGCCCCCTCCCAGCTGCCCGCAGCCCCTCACCCCCCCGGTGGCGGTGCCCCCAGCGCTCCCGGTTATCCCGGTTTATCCCGGTTTATCCCGGTTTATCCCGGTTTACCCTCACTCACTTCCTGCTCCGCCGGGCGCTGTCAACACCCCGCGCTTTACAGCGCCGCTGTCGCAAAAGCCGCTGTCGTAAAAGCCGCGCCGCCTCGCGGCGCCGGAGAACTACAACTCCCAGCGTGCCCCGCGGCGGCGGCGAAAAGGCGGGAAAGCCGTGAGGGGGACGGCGCCCCGAGGTGGAAAAAGGGGGAAAATCGGCCAAAATTCCGCGAAAACTCCCGCGGTTTTCACCCCAGGCCCTGAGGGTTTGGGGCTGTTTGTTGCGGCTGAGCCTTTAGGGGAGCTGGGGGTGTTTTTGCCTGACGGGGGTTGAGGGGTGTGAGGGGGAAACGCTGCTGGGCCCTGAGGGGAGCTGGGGTGATTTGGGGCTGTGAAATGCCGGTGAAAAATCAAACCCTACAACTCTAAAGATTTGTAGGGAACGGAATGTTTATTCACAGCGCTGTGGCGCGTTTAATGGACATGCACACCTCCGAGAACTCCTGATCCTTTTTTATTACCTTGACTCGTTTCTGTCTGCATAGAATTTTACAATAGGTTCATGCATATTCATTATGCTGATTTTACGTTATAGTTACAGCTAGTTATACTTGTACTCATTTTTGTTAGAAAGTACGGAAAGAACTCCTGGTTCACTCTGCCCTGTCTGCTTTAAGGTCCGAGGAGTTTTTCTTATTTCTTATCTTTTTGGTGTGGAAATTTGCATCGTTTCTCTTTAGCTGGGGTGGTTTTGCTGGTGCCGCAGTCACCAGACTAAACAGCATATTTAGCAAGTTCAAAGCAGCACATTTCGCCTAAACCCAAATAGATTTTTACTCTGTCAAATTTTCGCTTTGTCTCAGCTGCTCCTCGTCCCTCCCAGGATGGGGAAGCGCAGGAGCCGCCCGCTCCCAGGTGAAGGAAAACAACACCCAAATATCCCAGTCTGGGCCTCCCAGCTGCCATCTCCCCACATCCAAACTGAGATTTGCTCTTTTCTCCCCCCACACACAGCGGGCAACAGGAAATTCCACGCTCCCAAACCCAAGCGGATCCTTCAGGAACCACCAGGAGATCCCGCTGGGATGGAGCCCGAGCTCCCAGCAGAGGGAAAAACTCCCCAGATTGGGGATTTTAACGTGGTTTTTCAGGAGGGGAGAGGCGAGGAGATTGGAGGTGGCAGAGCAGCAAAATGGGGCGTTTCTGGTGGGGTGGGAGAGAATAATTTGGAAGTGCCCCAGCTGGGAATTTTGGAAGTGGATGATACAGGAGAGGATCAGCTGGAGTCACCAAAAATGGGAATTTTGAATGGGGGAGGAGAGAATTGTCGAGAATCGCCAAAACTGGCAATTCTGGAGGTGGATGGGGCAGGAGAGGAGCAGTTGGGGTCTCTGAAAGTGGGGATTTTGGATGGAACAGGGCAGGAGCAGCTGGAGTCACCAAACCCAGGAATTTTGGAGGCAGATGGGGCAGGAGAGGAGCAGCTGGAGTCACCTCTGAGAATTCCAGAGGCAGATGGGGCAGGAGAGGAGCAGCTGGAGTCACCAGAACCAGGAATTTTGGAGGTGGATGGGGCAGGAGAGGAGCAGCTGGAGTCACCAGAACCAGGAATTTTGGATGGGTCGGGAGAGACTTGTCAAGAATCAGCAAAACCGGCAATTTTGGAGGTGGATGGGGCAGGAGAGGGACCCCCAGAGTCAGTGAAATGTGTAATTTTGGATGGAATGGGACAGAACCATCTGGAATCATCTCAGCAGGGAATCTTGGAGGGGGGTGGAGCAGGAAAGGAGCAGCTGGAGTCACCAAAACCAGGAATTTTGGAGGTGGATGGGGCAGAAGAGCAGCTGGAGTCGATGGAAGTGGGGATTTGGGATGGAACAGGAAAGGAGCAGCTGGAGTCACCAAAACCAGGAATTCTGGATAGAACAGGAGAGGAGCAGCTGGAATCACCAAAACCAGGAATTTTGAAGGTGGATGGGGCAGGAGAAGAGCAGTTGGAGTCAATGGAAGTGGGGATTTGGGATGGAACAAGAGAGGAGCAGCTGGAATCACCAAAACCAGAAATTTTAGACAGAACAGGAAAGGAGCAGCTGGAATCACCAAAACCAGGAATTCCAAAGGCAGATGGGGCAGGAGAGGAGCAGCTGGAACCACCAAAACCAGGAATTTTGGATAGAACAGGAGAGGAGCAGCTGGAATCACCAAAACCAGGAATTTTGGAGGTGGATGGGACAGGAGAAGAGCAGCTGGAGTCACTGGAAGTGGGGATTTGGAATGGAACAGAAAAGGAGCAGCTGGAGTTACCAAAACCAGGAATTCCAGAGGCAGATGGGGCAGCAGAGGAGCAGCTGGCGTCACCAACACACAGAATTTGGGATGGGGCAGCAGAGGAGCATCCAGAGCCAGTGGAACCAGGAATTCCAGAGGCAGGTGGGGCAGCAGAGGCGCAGCCAGAGCCAAACTGGGAAATTGCCAGACTGGGAGACTTGGATGGGACGGGAGAGAGCGAGCGGGAGCCACCAGAAGGAGGGGGCTCCGGAGCACGGCAGGACACGGCGCCCGAGGAAAGCTCAGCGGTGACGGATGCAGCGGGAGAGCGGCCAGAAGGTGCCCTGGAGGAGGGATGTGGCACTGGGATTGCCCTGGGGATGGACACCGGGTCCCCAGACGGTCCCAGGGGTCCCCGGAGCCGAGGGGGGGACGCAGAGAGCGGGAATTCCGGGAGTGGGAATTCCGGGATGTTCACACCAGGGTCAGATCCAGCAGGAGCCAGCTCTGAGCCCCAGGAGCAGCAGGAAGGGACCAGCCCGGAGCTCCCAGCGGAGAAGGTACAACTGGGGTGAGCCCAAACTGGGACCCAGGGACCCCTCCCCACCCAAACTGGGACCCAGGGACCTCTCCCCATCCCAAACTGGGATCCAGGGACCCCTCCCCATCCCAAACTGGGACCCAGAGACCCCTCCCCATCCCAAACTGGGACCCTCCCCACCCAAACTGGGACCCAGGGACCCCTCCCCACCCAAACTGGGACCCAGGGACCCCTCCCCATCCCAAACTGGGACCCTCCCCACCCAAACTGGGACCCAGGGACCCCTCCCCATCCCAAACTGGGACCCTCCCCATCCCCTTGGCCTTCCCAGCTCCTCTTTCCCTGCAGCCATGGGACACCACAGGCCAGATCCACACCAGATCCACAGGGAGTAGCCCGTGGGAAAGGTGGGTGGATCCAGACCCTCCTGCAGGAATAAAATCCTGATTTTTGACTAAAATTCCCTGCCTGGGGAGTGGAAAACTCCCGACTCTCCTTCCCCCGGCAGCGCCAAGGCCGCAGAGCCAGTGGACGCCAGCGACGTCATCCGTGGGCTGATCCGGGAACTCTCAGACCTCAAGTAAGTCCCAAACCCGGCCGGATTTCCCCGGGGCGGGGGTCCAGCCCCCCCTGAGCGATGCCCATGTCCCCCCACAGCCGCCTGGCCATGGGAGCCCGCCGAGGGCTGGAGCTGCTGAGGAGGCCGAAGCCGCGGCGCGGCCGGAGGGCAGTGCCCGGTGGGAGCCGCTGGAAAGAGGGGTAGGGCCATCAGGAACAATAATAATGATTTATTGATGGAAACGATAGGAATAAACCAACCTTGGTCCGGAGAATGGTTCCAGCATTTGCTACCCGCTGTGGTGGGTGAACAAATCCTGCCAAACCCACCCAAATCCCACCAAACCCACCCAAAACGCTAAGGAGCGGCTGTGGTGGCGGGATAAAGGCTCCGACACTTGGAGCACCAGCCCCTTCCCAGTCCCCTCCTGGCCTGGGATTAACCAAAACTCAAAAATTCAACTCAAAACGCCTGTAAACAGCTCCAGCGCCTGGAGCTCTGGCCCCTTCCTGGACCTGGGATTAACCAAAACTCAACAATCCAACGCAAAACATCTGGTAACACCTCGAGCACTTACTCCTTTTGGGATTAACGAAAACTCAGAACTCAGAACTCAAACCTAACCCAAAACTCAGAACTGGCCCCGCCGGCAGCACCCAAATCTGGCTGGGGCGACCCTTCGGGGTGGCACGGTGCCGGGAGGCGGCGCAGACCGGGGAGACTGGTCCCAGTCAAGATCCACGCCGTGGTCTCATCCTCTGAGGAAGTCCCTGGAAGAGAAGCCGGGAGAAAGAGGCAGGAGCACTGGGAAGCAGCACACGCAGCCTGCGGTTAGTGCCAAATTCCCGATGGGATTCCTGCAGGAATCCCGCCCTGGGTAAATCCAAGTCTCCTTCCTTTGTGTCACCTGTTTCCCAGCGCCTTCCTCCTTCCTTCAGCTCTGGCTCCTTGGATTTCCCTCATGGAAATCCCATTGCAGCCTAAATCCGTGCTTGGCTCTGAACACCCTCAGAACCTGCACGGGCACAGGGAATCTTCCATCCTTTGGCTGCTTCCCGGTGCCACCTGTCTCCTGCTGCCCCCTCTTTGGTAGCCCTGGTTCCCCGACGGGATTCCTCACGGGGAATCTGGCTAAGCGCAGCTTTGGATGCAGCACAGCCACCGCGGCCTCACCGGGACACCACAAACCCCAAACCTGCGTGGGGACGCGGCGTCCTCCATCCCTGCCGTGCCCCCTTCCCTCCACCACGAGATTCCTCAGGGAATCCCAGCCCAGGAACGTGCCGCATCCCCGCCGGTACCTGCACGGTGGCACGGGATCCTCCGTCCCTTGGCTACATCCTGGTGTTCCTCTGCCTCCTCCGGGCGGGCACCGGCTGGGAGTAGACGGACGTGTAGCCGCGGTGTGTGCGCGGGCAGAAGCGGCGCGTGTGGGCCTGGTCCTGCGTGGCCCCGCACTGGGGGCAGACGTAGCTGCGCAGCACCGGGCACTGCAGGCGGCCCCGGGCGTCGCGCAGGCTGTGGCTCTGGTACACGCCCGGCGCCTCGCCGTTGTGCTGGCAGAACGAGCACAGGGCTGGTGGAGCCGGCCCCGTACGTGGAGCTGGTTCGGTGCGTGGAGCCGGTTCGGTGCGTGGAGCCGGCCCCAGACGTGGAGCTGGTTCGGTGCGTGGAGC